CTTGCATTCCAGGGGTTACATTGGCATGCCTGCATCCTGCGTTCTATAAGCATTAAAACGGAAGAGGAAAATAATATTAGTATATGAAAAAGGCATGTCATTTAGTTTTAGTGTCGTCTGGGGGAGGGGTTTGTCCGTCTGGTTGTATTTTTTTCTGTTCTTTTTTTCTTCTCTGTTCTAGCGTCAATTAGATTCTGTGTCGCTGTGTCGGTAGAATTTTGTCTCTTTAAAGGTAGATTTGATTTTTTTTTCGTCTGTCTGTCTTGTTTTTCTTGCTCTGTGTCTGTTTCTAACTCTATTGTCAATGGTCTTTCTTCACTGTCGCTGTCGCTTTCTATTGTTTGTGTTTTGTCCGTCTCGTCGGCCCAGTTTTTTATGGGGAGGGGTGTCAACGTGCCCTCGAGGGGGGCAAGGGGTATTTGTGGTGGTGGTGGTCTTAGGGTTTTTGTCGGGGTCTTGGTCGGAGTCTTGGTTGGGGTCTGGGTCTTCGTTGGGGTCTGTGTCTTCGTTGGGGTCTTGGCGGGTGATCTGGGTGCGGCGGCGGAGGAGGTGACGGCCTGAGTGGTGGGGGCGGTCGGGTTGAGGGCGGGCGCTGGAGTGTCGACGGCCGGGGTGGTGGCGGCGGTGGTGGCAGTCGGCGGACGTCTCGTCGTTGGTTGGTGGGGCTGTCGTGGGTTTTTTTCAGGCGGTCGGCGTATGTTATTGTTGTCGTCGTTGTTGGGGCGTCGTTGGTCTGCTCGGGCTTGCCGGCCGGACACTTTGAGGAGTAGTGGTCGTCCCGGGCGCAGTGGATACACGCTATCCGGCGCCCGGGGATGGTTACTAATATGGAGAGAGTGTCCGGCCCGCAGCCCGAGACTCTGACGTAGTGGGGGATGTCCTGTTCGTCCGCCTCCGCCAGGAGATAAGAACAGATACTTTTTTTTTTTTTATTAGTGGACGATAACCCACTACACTTTGATCTTAGCCAAAAGGCCGAGAAGCGATGCCGAGAAATGGGCGAAGTTTCCTCACCAGCGCGCTGCAACTGCTTTTCTCACCAGCCCCGCACTATTAGCATGCTCCACGTAACACGGCCGTTGGATAATTCGATCCCAGTCTGGACCAGCCGTTTTGCTGGGTTGCGTCATTGCACCTAGGGCCGGTGTTCACTGCGTACCCTTTGTGGTTCACGTTTTCGAGGGAAAATGCCACTATTTTCACCCTCTCACACCTATTGCGTGTCTACGGGAAGGGGGGCGACCCTCGTGGAAAAAAAGTGAAGGGCCGCTATTGCGCTCGTCGTCGCTGCTCCCTCGCCAGGCATTTGTTTGCCTCCCTTCGACCACAAACGAGTCGCAGTCGGCTGAGTCGGTCATCCTTTTTTTATCCCAAAACGTGCTCGTGGCTCACAGTGGCGATTGTTTGTTTCTTGTTGATTTTTTGGTTATCCTTTGGTTGCTTGCTGTTGTCGTTGTTTCTGTTTGTGTTTTTTGCTTGCCTTTTTTCCTCTTTTTTCTTGTTGTGGTGTTTTAAAAATTTTTAAATTTATTATTATTTTTGTCTTCTTATTTTTTTTTCTTTCTTTTTTTTCAATTTTTTTTTCTTTCTGTTTCGGTTACGTTTTTCTTGTGGTGCTGACCTAATAAAGGCAAATTGAAACATGTTTACGGTAAAAAACCAAACAGACTGGATAAACCGATGAGAAGTTGGTTGTTGTACAGAAACACAATAAACAAGTTTTATTTCTGATTTTCTTCGTATTCCATTTCTTTCACTGTTTATGTTTTCACCTTTTACTGTTTTTGAAATAAACTGCTATCATCATTATTATCCTCCTCATTATCAATATTATTTTCATGACTAGATTCTACCATTATTGTGCTATTTTTAAAATACATCTTTTTGAAACAACATTTTTTTCCAAAAGAAACCCCCCCAAAACAAACAAACAAAATCCAAACCAAACCACCAAACCAAACCAAAAAAAAACAAACAAAACAAACATAAAAACGACTAAAAAAAACCCTAAACAAACAAACAACACCAAAAAACCCCTAAACAAACAAACTGACTAACTGACTAAGACTAACTAACTAACTAACTAACTAACTAACTAACTAACTAACTAACTAACTAACTAACTAAAAACACACAAACAAACAAACCCACTAACAAACAAAACCAAAAACCCCAAACAAAACAAACCATTACTCCTGGGGCTGGGGCCAAGGCTACATCTAGGGCCTTCTTCTCTTCAATCCATTACTATTTATTTTGAAAGAGAGCCTAAGGCAACGCCGCTAATCCTCAAAGCAGAAAGTATTTATTCTTAGGGGTGGGGAAAAAAATCAAAATTAAATGACCCCGCCGCAGGGCAGGAGCGGGAGGGCTGATCAGGACAGTTGCGTAACGGACAGAGGTGTGATTTTCTGTGCGCCGCGTCGTGTGCTGCCGGCACGGAAAGGCTAGTTTCTTTCATCACGCCACCAACACCTACACCCAAGGCATGACTCTAAATGGACACGGGCGAGGTGTTGGGGGGAGGGACAAAGGAAACTGTACTGCAAAGTGCGTCAAACAAACGCATAAAAAAATTAACAATGATGATAATAAGCATAAAAATGTCAAGAAACATTACCTTAATTTTCATTTCCCAACAAAGGGTGCGCTCAGCTCAGATCGCGGACCTCCGAGACATGGCACATAGGTGTGAAATCTGTTGCTAGAAGAACGACCGCCGTCCTTGAGATCAAACGGCGATCAGAAGGGATCAAATGAAATGATCCCAAGTACGCTGTCGACGAACAAACAGTAGTAGTAGTAGATCTAGAATCTGGCCTACGGCCACCGGGCTCGTTCTGTTATTGTTTCTGTGTGCTGTGTTTGCGTGTTTGTGTGTTTGTGTGTCTGTGTGAGCTGTGTTTGTTTCTGCGTGTTGTGCTTGTACAAGTGTGTTTGTGTGTGCTGTACTTCCTTTCCTGAACTTTCATTGAATGGTTATTATGACAGGGGATAGCGCGAACGCAGTCCCCCCTACGTAAAAATTACGCACTCGAGTCACCCGCATTTGAGGTGATCGCAGGGGTCAGCCAAACCGGAGTGCAATGGAAAGGCCTCGCCCTGGGAGGACCGCCGTCGTGATCATGGTGCCTCCCGTGCCAGGTAAGTATGGTTTGCTACGTGTCTTCATTTGCAATCCTGCACCGCCTGCGTTCTCGTAGTGATCTTGGTTTCATCTCCATGTTACGCAATTCAATCACTATCCAAATCATAGCAAGTAATTTGTCACGACGTCCTTTACGTCTTAAGCAGGATGTGAGTTTACAACTGCTGCTGCGACACGCCCGGTGGGACAAAATAGTGCTTTTTGAGTCAACGCAGGCGAAACGTAAATCTCAACACCGCTACGACAAGGGACACAACTCTAAATGCTATTTCCACATAAAGAAAAAGCGGCCCCAGGGGAGGCTATTACAATAACGCGATCTTACCTGCTACTGCTGCTACTGCTGCTACTGCTGCTGCTACTGTTTGTTTGCTGCTACTGGAAAACAGAATGAATGAATGAAACGTTGACATCGTGACAGGGAGCAGGCACATTTTCTTGTCCCTCTGATCTCCTCGACCTCCGCTTGCTCTGACTGCCCGGCGTAAAATGGAAATTGAAAGGGGGAAACAGCACACTCGATTGTGAGGCGAACAGGCTGAGTGAGCTCTACTCAGTTTTCGCACGTGCGCTTACTAGATCTAAACAACACACTGAAGCGAGCGGGCAGCTACACATGCGACAATTGTTGTACATCTAGATCTACATCATGTGTACATTTGCGCTTGTGTGTGATTTGTTTGTCTGTTTGTTTGGAGAACCATTCGTACATTGTTTGCTTATATTGGGCCATTCCCGGAGGGACTGCAATACCGGGCCGACCCGTGGCGAGAGCGGAGCAAGCCCCGGGCATCTCGCCTGTGTCCAAAAATCAGTTTAATATCGTAGTGGCTAGGAAGCCACGTATCAGATATTAAGCTGATAAGAACAGATACTACACTTTGATCTTAGCCAAAAGGCCGAGAAGCGATGCCGAGAAATGGGCGAAGTTTCCTCACCAGCGCGCTGCAACTGCTTTTCTCACCAGCCCCGCACTATTAGCATGCTCCACGTAACACGGCCGTTGGATAATTCGATCCCAGTCTGGACCAGCCGTTTTGCTGGGTTGCGTCATTGCACCTAGGGCCGGTGTTCACTGCGTACCCTTTGTGGTTCACGTTTTCGAGGGAAAATGCCACTATTTTCACCCTCTCACACCTATTGCGTGTCTACGGGAAGGGGGGCGACCCTCGTGGAAAAAAAGTGAAGGGCCGCTATTGCGCTCGTCGTCGCTGCTCCTCGCCAGGCATTTGTTTGCCTCCCTTCGACCACAAACGAGTCGCAGTCGGCTGAGTCGGTCATCCTTTTTTATCCCAAAACGTGCTCGTGGCTCACAGTGGCGATTGTTTGTTTCTTGTTGATTTTTTGGTTATCCTTTGGTTGCTTGCTGTTGTCGTTGTTTCTGTTTGTGTTTTTTGCTTGCCTTTTTTCCTCTTTTTTCTTGTTGTGGTGTTTTAAAAATTTTTAAATTTATTATTATTTTTGTCTTCTTATTTTTTTTTCTTTCTTTTTTTTCAATTTTTTTTTCTTTCTGTTTCGGTTACGTTTTTCTTGTGGTGCTGACCTAATAAAGGCAAATTGAAACATGTTTACGGTAAAAAACCAAACAGACTGGATAAACCGATGAGAAGTTGGTTGTTGTACAGAAACACAATAAACAAGTTTTATTTCTGATTTTCTTCGTATTCCATTTCTTTCACTGTTTATGTTTTCACCTTTTACTGTTTTTGAAATAAACTGCTATCATCATTATTATCCTCCTCATTATCAATATTATTTTCATGACTAGATTCTACCATTATTGTGCTATTTTTAAAATACATCTTTTTGAAACAACATTTTTTTCCAAAAGAAACCCCCCCCCAAAACAAACAAACAAAAATCCAAACCAAACCAAACCAAACCAAACCAAAAAAAAACACACAAAACAAAACATAAAAACAACACAAAAAAAACCCTAAACAAACAAACTGACTAACTGACTAACTGACTAACTGACTAACTAACTGACTAACTGACTAACTAACTAACTAACTAACTAACTCTAACTAACTAACTAACTAACTAACTAACTAACTAACTAACTAAACAAACAAACAAACAAACCCACTAACAAACAAAACCAAAAACCCCAAACAAAACAAACCATTACTCCTGGGGCTGGGGCCAAGGCTACATCTAGGGCCTTCTTCTCTTCAATCCATTACTATTTATTTTGAAAGAGAGCCTAAGGCAACGCCGCTAATCCTCAAAGCAGAAAGTATTTATTCTTAGGGGTGGGGAAAAAAATCAAAATTAAATGACCCCGCCGCAGGGCAGGAGCGGGAGGGCTGATCAGGACAGTTGCGTAACGGACAGAGGTGTGATTTTCTGTGCGCCGCGTCGTGTGCTGCCGGCACGGAAAGGCTAGTTTCTTTCATCACGCCACCAACACCTACACCCAAGGCATGACTCTAAATGGACACGGGCGAGGTGTTGGGGGGAGGGACAAAGGAAACTGTACTGCAAAGTGCGTCAACAAACGCATAAAAAAATTAACAATGATGATAATAAGCATAAAAATGTCAAGAAACATTACCTTAATTTTCATTTCCCAACAAAGGGTGCGCTCAGCTCAGATCGCGGACCTCCGAGACATGGCACATAGGTGTGAAATCTGTTGCTAGAAGAACGACCGCCGTCCTTGAGATCAAACGGCGATCAGAAGGGATCAAATGAAATGATCCCAAGTACGCTGTCGACGAACAAACAGTAGTAGTAGTAGATCTAGAATCTGGCCTACGGCCACCGGGCTCGTTCTGTTATTGTTTCTGTGTGCTGTGTTTGCGTGTTTGTGTGTTTGTGTGTCTGTGTGAGCTGTGTTTGTTTCTGCGTGTTGTGCTTGTACAAGTGTGTTTGTGTGTGCTGTACTTCCTTTCCTGAACTTTCATTGAATGGTTATTATGACAGGGGATAGCGCGAACGCAGTCCCCCCTACGTAAAAATTACGCACTCGAGTCACCCGCATTTGAGGTGATCGCAGGGGTCAGCCAAACCGGAGTGCAATGGAAAGGCCTCGCCCTGGGAGGACCGCCGTCGTGATCATGGTGCCTCCCGTGCCAGGTAAGTATGGTTTGCTACGTGTCTTCATTTGCAATCCTGCACCGCCTGCGTTCTCGTAGTGATCTTGGTTTCATCTCCATGTTACGCAATTCAATCACTATCCAAATCATAGCAAGTAATTTGTCACGACGTCCTTTACGTCTTAAGCAGGATGTGAGTTTACAACTGCTGCTGCGACACGCCCGGTGGGACAAAATAGTGCTTTTTGAGTCAACGCAGGCGAAACGTAAATCTCAACACCGCTACGACAAGGGACACAACTCTAAATGCTATTTCCACATAAAGAAAAAGCGGCCCCAGGGGAGGCTATTACAATAACGCGATCTTACCTGCTACTGCTGCTACTGCTGCTACTGCTGCTGCTACTGTTTGTTTGCTGCTACTGGAAAACAGAATGAATGAATGAAACGTTGACCCTCTGATCTCCTCGACCTCCGCTTGCTCTGACTGCCCGGCGTAAAATGGAAATTTGAAAGGGGGAAACAGCACACTCGATTGTGAGGCGAACAGGCTGAGTGAGCTCTACTCAGTTTTCGCACGTGCGCTTACTAGATCTAAACAACACACTGAAGCGAGCGGGCAGCTACACATGCGACAATTGTTGTACATCTAGATCTACATCATGTGTACATTTGCGCTTGTGTGTGATTTGTTTGTCTGTTTGTTTGGAGAACCATTCGTACATTGTTTGCTTATATTGGGCCATTCCCGGAGGGACTGCAATACCGGGCCGACCCGTGGCGAGAGCGGAGCAAGCCCCGGGCATCTCGCCTGTGTCCAAAAATCAGTTTAATATCGTAGTGGCTAAGCTCGAACGTCGTTCGGGAGTGGTGAAGAACAGATACTTTTTTTTTTTTTTTTTTTTTTTTTTTATTAGTGGACGATAACCGTCCTCCCGATAGAAAAGGGGGTCAGATTTCTCCGTCCCCCGGAGTGCCTCGGGTAGTACCTGCCTCGCTAAACCGGAGAACAGATACTACCTTTGATCGGAGCCAAAAGGCCGAG